CTAAATTGTTTTAAGTTTTACACCCACATATGAGTGAGAGCATGTGATATTTGTCTTCCTATGCCTGGCTTATTTCATTTAACATAATGTTCTCTAGGTCCATCCATGTTGTTACAAATGACAGGATTGTATTCTTTTTTTATGGCTGAATAATATATCAATATATATCTGTGTATATGTGTGTACACACACACACACACACACACACACACACACACACACACACACACACACACACACCATATTTTCTTTATTCACTGATGAACACAGGCTGATTCCATATCTTGGCTATTGTGTTGGTATGTTCTTTCTATACCCAGTTATTTTATTTCATTTTTTTATAATAAAGGGGATGTTGAATTTTATTGAATACTTTTTTCAGCATTAATTCAAATGATCATATGGTTGTCTTTCATTCTGATCAGGATGTAGCACATTAATTAATTTAATTTATGAACTTTCCTTAAGTCCCTGGGATGACTCCCACTTGATCATGAATGATCTTTTTAATATGTGTTGATTCAGTTTGCTAGCGTTTTGTTGAGGATTTTTGCATCAATGTTCATCAGAGATACTGGCTTATAGTTTTCTTTTTTTGTTGTTGCTGTGTCTTTTTCTGGTTTTAATATTAGGGTAATATTGACCTTGAAGAATGGTCCAGCTATTCCTTCCTCTTTTGTTTTTGTTTTATGGGGTTTTTTAAATAGTTTAAGCAGGATTGATATTAGTTCATCTTTAAATGTTTGATTAAAATACAATAGTAAAGCCATAGGTCCTGGGCTCTTCTTTGATGGAAGACTTTTTATTATGGCTTCAATCTCATTACTTGTTATTGGTCTATTTGGGTTATGGATTTCTTCATGGTTCAATCTAGGTGGGTTGTATTTGTCTTAGAACTTATTCATTTCTTTTAGGTTTTCCTATCTATTTATTTTTTGGAATCTCACTCTGTTGCCCAGGTTGGAGTGCAGTGGCACACTTATGGCCACTGCAGCCTCGACCTACTGGGTTCAGGCGATCCTCCTGCCTCAGCCTTCCAAGTAGCTGGAACTACAGGTGCATGCTACCACATCTGGCTAATTTTTTGACTCATTGTAGAGATGGAGTCTCACCAAGTTGCCCAGGCTGGTCTCAAACCCCTGGCCTCAGACAATCCTCTTGCCTCAGCCTCCCAAAGTGCTGGGATTACAGGTTTGAGCCAACGTGCCCAACCTAGGTTTTCAAATTTATTGGCATATAGTTGCTCAAGGTAGTCTCTAATGATCCTCTGAATATATGAAGTGCCAGTTGCAGTGTTTCCCTTTTCGTGTCTGATTTTATTTATTCGGGTCTTTGCACTTTTTAAAAATTAGTCTGACTAAGGGTTTGTCAACTTGTTTATCTTTTTTAAAAAATCAATCTTTTATTTTATTTATCCTTTGTATTTTTTTTGTTTCACTTTCATTTATGCTGTGAGCTTTATTTCTTTTCTTCTATTAATTTTGGATTTGGCTAGGTCTTACTTTTCTAGTTCTTTAAGATTAATCATTAGGTTGTTCGTTTGAAGTCTTTCTACTTTTTAAATGTAGTTACTTCTTGTTATAAACTTTATCTTAGTACTGATGTACTCTATCCCCTAATTTTGGTTGTTGTGCTCTCATTTTCATTTGTTTCAAAACATTTTAAAATTTCTGTCTTAATTTCTTCATTGACCCACTGGTCATTCAGGGGCATATTGTTTAATTTTCATATGTTTGTATAGTTTCCAAAGTTCCTTTTATTATTGATTTCTAGTTTTATTCCATTGTGGTCAGAGAAGATACTTGATATGATTTTTTAAAATTTATTTTTGAATATTTTAAGACTTGTCTTGTGGTCTAACAAATTGTCTATCTTGAGAATGATGCTTTTGCTAAGGAGAAACATGTGTATTCTGCAGCCTTTGGATGAAATGTTCTGTACATATTTATTAGATCTGTTTGGTCTATAGTTCAGAATTAGTCCAATGCTTTGTTGATTTTTCTACCTGGATAATCTATCCAATACTGAAAATAGAGTGTTGAAGTCTCTGGCTATTCTTGTATTGGAGTCTTTTTCTTACTCTTTAGCTCTAATAATTTTGCTTGATATATCTGAATGCTTCAGTGTTGGATGCATATACGTTAACAATTGTTATATTCACTTACTTCTTTGACCACCTCATTGTTATATAATTACCTTCTTTGCCCTTTTTAATAGTTTTTACCTTTAAATCTATTTTATCTGATATAAGTATAGCTATTCCTGCTATTTTTTTGGTTTTCATTTTCATGGAATATCTTTTTCCATTTATTTTCATTCTCTGTATATCTTTATAGGTGATGTGAGTTTCTGTAGACAGCAGAAAGTCCCTTGGGTCTTAGTTTTTTTGAAATCCATTCAGCTCCTCTTTATTGTGTGATTCAGACTAGATTTGAAAAGACTTATGAAACAGTTCCATAACAAATAGGTAAATTAGCTTTAAACTTTTTAAATCTTAGATTATTTAATCTTTAAACATTACTTTGGTTAACTAACATGATTTTAATCTTTTATGCAAATATAACAATTTTTTCATTTAAAAAAATCTGTCAGAAAAATTGCCTATTTTAGAGTTTCCACAGCACAATAAAATGTGTTGACTTTTCCATTTTTGGTTTTTGATTTGCTTATTTTGTCTTTAATGACAACTTATTTAAAGAAGAAATCTTTAAAGTGGCAGAATAACATGATAACATGTCTTCCCTGGTAATTTGATACTTTGATATAATGAGTTTATCTGAGAGATTTCATTAAAAACAGCAAGGTTCCTGAACACCAAAGCTGAGATGTTTTTAATCACAGAATTATAGTAATTACACAAATCCCACGATTTTCACCAGATGGAAATGCCTTCAAGGGCTAAACATGCACTTTAAACTTAGCACTAATAACTGTGTGTTGTTCTAAATTATAGTAGAGAGACTCCTCAGGCCAAGGGAAATATGGGAAAGAATGTTATGTATTGAATTTTTAAGAACAACTGAGAAAAAAACTATTTTGATAGCTTAGTGGTATCTGTAAGAGGCTCATTTCCTGAGTAATAGAAGAGGAACTTTTATGTGCAGACACAGTACATAGTAGGTGAATATTCAAATAAACTCAAAGAGACGGTTATCATTTACTATATCCTCAGCGAGGAACATCTTTCTCTCTTTTCTCCCAGGGATCCCGAAGTTGCTAATGGACAGGACTGAACTTCTTCTTCCCATCAGTAAATGGGAGAGACCACTAGTAAATGAGATGATGATTGGCTCAAAAACTGGGTTTCTGAGTCAAGTGATGACTACACAAAGAATAATTTAGTTATGGTGGGGATTACTAAAAACATCAACTTTTTATAAAATGGCAAAGACACAGAACCCTCTGAGAGCTTGTTTTTAAGAAATGTTATATAGAAAGATGCATTCAGGAAGGTTTTATAAAAATGGCCCTAAACAAAACATTTTATTTGATATACTATCCATTAATCATTATTTTATTTATTTTTTTCTGGCTAAGATGAGAAGGGAGAGATGAGGAAAGCAGATTAAAGAAGAGAACAATGAAAAAGGAGTGTGCTGGGGGGACGCCATGATGAGTAGAGAAGGGAGGAAGGATGCTCTCCAGGGTAAATGGGGAACGCAAGCCAGATGGGCTCCTCACTTGTCACAAGGGATTTAGATTGAGGCACAGAGCACCCGAAAAGCCCTGCATCATGTCTGAGTATTTCTGATGAGCAGTCAGGACATAGAATTCCTTGGCGAGGCTGGAGTAGAGACATGTCTGGGATTTGAGTCCCAACAGGACAGTATTTCTGATCTCTGTTCTCCCAACCTCATCCCTTCTATGGTAAATGTATCTTCCCCTGTCTCTAAGTAGAATAGGAGAGTTAGCTAGACTCACTGTCTTCTTATCCCTTCTGAATATATAACCAACCTCATTTATTATCTGCATATGTGAGCCTCCCTATTCTCCGCTTCCTAGTCAAAAAGCTTGGAAACCATGTTGAGCCACTTTCAGGAAAGCCCTGAGTGAGTATACACAGGTGAATGCATGTGGGCTCACCTGGTTGCATCTACCCCTGCTGGCGGTCTTCGTCTACATTGCCATAAAGGAACACCTAAGGCTGGGTAATTTATCAAGAAGAGAGGTTTATTTGGCTCACATTTCTGCAGGCTGTACAAGAAGTATAGCACCAGCATCTACTTTTGGTGAGGGCCTTAGGAAGCTTCTACTCACGGTGGAAAGTGAAGAGGAGCAAGTTTCAATGACAAGAACAGAAAGAGAGGGAGAGGGAAAGGGAAAAGAAGAGAGGGAGACAGGAAGAGAGGAAAAGAGGGAGAGAGAAAGAGAGAGAGAGAGAGAAAAGAGGTACCAGGCTCTTTTCAACACCGGTTCTCTTGGGAACTAAGAGAGTTCACTTATTTCAGAGGAGAGGCACCAAGCCATTCAGGAGTGATATTCCCCAATGATCCAAACACCTCCCACCAGTCCCCACCTCCAACATTAGTGGTCATATTTCAACATAAGAATTTGGCAGGCTAAGCAAACAATATCCAAATCATAGCATAGGCCATGGCCAATGAGGAAAGCAGATTAAGGAATGACAGCTCCAGTGTCATTAAAGTTTTTGCTTTCCCCCCTCTGACCATCAGAATGTGTGCCATTGTGCAGAAATTCACAAGATACGGAAAATATAGAGAAGCAGAAAGGTCACTAGTAATCCTTCCACCCAGATAGAACTATTGTTCACCTTTTGCCCTACTTCCTTCCAATCTTTTTTTTGTGTCCTGTGTTCTTCGTATGTGTTCTGTTGCACATGCACATTTTTGCTCTGATTTACAAACATTTAACAATACTTGATAATCGATCATAAGCATTTTCCATAAACCTCACGGGAGGTCTATGGAATATTGATTGCTGTAGGGAATATAAGTGTGCTGTTATCTGGATTAAGTGTCACTGTCATTCGTGTCTCTTCTCAGGTCCTCTCTTGTTGTTGGCCACACACGAAGAAGGCTATGATGGGAATGAAGGCAAAAACTTGGAAGTTTCACTTGATTCATTGCTTCTGTCTGCAAGATCATCCTTTAGAAGGGAAGCTGTTCCGAGTGGTGGTGAACTCCAAAGGGCAGGACTTGTTCTAGGAGGAAATGGATGCAAGTAGCTCCGGAGACCCCCAACGCTTGCTTCCTGTGGTGTAGCTCAGGGAAGCCCTTCTGCTGGGGGGGATGCCGCCGGCTCTGGACCGCATGGCTGATTCCTGAATGATGATGGTTCGCCGGGGGCTGCTTGCGTGGATTTCCCGGGTGGTGGTTCTGCTGGTGCTCCTCTGCTGCGCCATCTCTGTCCTGTACATGCTGGCCTGCACCCCCAAAGGTGACGAGGAGCAGCTGGCCCTGCCGAGGGCCAATGGCCCCACAGGGAAGGAAGGGTACCAGGCTGTCCTGCAGGAGTGGGAAGAGCAGCACCACAACTATGTGAACAGCCTGAAGCGGCAGATTGCACAACTCAAGGAGGAGCTGCAGGAGAGGAGTGAGCAGCTCAGGAATGGGCAGTACCAAGCTAGTGATGCCGGTGTCCTGGGCCTGGACCGAGGACCCCCAGAGAAAACCCAGGCTGACCTCCTGGCCTTCCTGCACTCGCAGGTGGAAAAGGCGGAGGTGCACTCTGGTGTCAAACTGGCTACGGAGTACGCAGCCGTGCCTTTCGACAGCTTCACCCTGCAAAAAGTGTACCAGCTGGAGACTGGCCTCACCCGCCACCCCGAGGAGAAGCCAGTGAGGAAGGACAAGAGGGATGAGTTGGTCGAAGCCATTGAATCAGCCCTGGAGACCTTGAACAACCCTGCAGAGAACAGCCCCAATCATCGTCCTTACACGGCTTCGGATTTCATAGAAGGTTGGCATGTTTGTGAACTTGGCGGGAAGTAGGAGAAAAGGCATCTGGGGTCCCTGCGTCCAGGCAGGGTCCAGCTGTGGGAGGCTGACAGCTGTCTCTGGGATGGCTGGTGGGAAGTTTTCTGTAAGCATACCAATACCAAAGGTATAGCATGGATTTTTATTTTTTCAGAAACATCTGTTTCCACTTACTTTCTCGTGGAAACTGCGATCATTGAGTAGACAGTTTCGCTGCTCCTTGGCAGAAGAAGATGGAACATCTTGCTTTCATTAAAAAAAATACACACACACACATATACATACATACATACATATATATATATATGTGGATATATATATATATAAAGCTTTGAGAACCAAATAGAATATGATAGGCAAAATTTAATTTTATTCCTTTGCACGGGCACTTTTAATAATTGGACCGGGTTATCAAGCCCACAAACAAAAATAATAGCAAGCGTGTAGTATTGTACTTACATGTGCCAAGCACTGTCCTGGGAATTTTACAGATATTGATTTTTTTTTTCCACATAATGACCCCCTTATGGGATGAGGAAATTGAGGTGTAGATTAATTAAATGAATGCCTAAAGTTGCTCGGCTAGCAAGTGGCTGAGCCAGGATTTGAACCCAAGAAGGCTAACTCCAGAGTCCATGTCCTTAATCTCTACATTGTATTGTATAGATTGTCAGAGCACATGGAAACTAGTGAGACAGGTGGTTCAGCTCTTTTCATGGGCACAAGACAGCCTAGTATTAATTGCTGTTTGTGTCTAATTTCAGAAGACAGCAGCCTTATCCAGTTTCTTGGAAGACTTGTTAGTGTCTTCGTAGCTTACCTATTGTTGCAAGTTCAAAAACTAACTAGTAATTTGAGGTAAGAAATGCCTTCAAGATTATCTAGTTCTTTTCCCGATTTCTGGATTGAATCAGCTTCATCTTGCCCAGAAAAATAGCTGTGTCCGCCTACTCCCACCTTCTACTTTGGTTATACAACCATCATCATATGGGCCTGCAGGCAGGACTGACTCTCTTTAGTCATATCAAAAACCCTCTGGCTGCTATGTATGCCTGTTCTTTTGGTCATTTTCTCATCTTATGCTTTTGTCACTTTATATGTGAACCATAGATTTATGCGGTTTTAGTGTATCATCATTTTTTTATAAACCTAGAGCCAGGTTAAAAAAAACACTTTTACAAGATCAAGCCTTCAGAATGAGGATTCTTAAAACTCAATTATATCAGATTTTTTAAATGTCTAGAACATTCAGCAGCTAACTAGTATAAGCACATGATGAGCACTCAATAAGAGTTCAAAATATAATGATGATGCAACATCACATTTCATGGTTCTTTACAGTTTATGAAACATTTCCACATATATTATCTTACTAGCTGACCCCCAGGGAGAATCCTTAAACATCATTAAAAAAAAAAATCCTGGTTGTCACTCTCCCTGGAGTGTGCTACATAGAGCTGACCACGTACAAAGCAATTTCAAAAGGACTTGATTACAAATCAGAGCCTCCAATTTGCAATGTGTGACCTTGTGATTTTCAATCTGCATTCATATTTGAAATCTCTGCTTTTCTGTGCAGAGTATCTCAATATATAAAGCCTATTTTTCTCAATCAGCAGTGACATCAGCCTCTTGTCCCTGAGTTTATTTGCTGTGGAGTTCAGCTGACTTTTTATTAGAGAAACTTTTATTATGGCTACCCAAAATGTTGCTTTCATGTGCAGCACACAGCTGATATTTTAAGGCAAATTGATCCATATGTATCCTCAAATTTGGTAAAAGTCTAGTCAACTCTTTTCATATGAGGAGTAAATAAAGGCAAACACTTTAAGTATGTTTATACAGATTTGACTGTCAGAAGCAGTTCGTTTTATTTTAAAAATTCATATCGTAACAAAAGATTGTGGAGGCAACCTTTTATATTCACAGGAAGTGGGGAATTATTAAAGATTCACCAGTCAGAGGAAACTACAGGGAGGTAGAATTAAGCGTAATATAAGAAGTAACTTTGGAAATAGTGCTGTTTCAGAAAAAAGTGGGAGTCCTGTCACTATAAGAATTCTATCATCAACTGCATGACCGTTTGGCCAGGAGGTTATAAATCATGATTCTAGCTTTAGAAAGGTGGTTGGAGAATTACATTTGAGGACCTTTTCAATCCCAGTTCATGATTCTTCTATCTATAACTAGTTAAAGAGAAAGAAAGCACTGGAAAGGGTCTGATTTGAGATCTGTCTTCTATAATGATTTAGAGCAAGTGACAGGATCTTATAAGGGTGAAATAGATCTGCAAAATAACTTCTTTGAGTTTCTAAACATAACCTTAGAGAGAGTGATTTTGTGTTTGAGGTTTCAGTAGTCCAAACGTTGAAGGCATTTAGCAAAAATCCATGGGAAAATTTTAAGTTAGATGCAGGAGTACTCCACACTTAGAGAAATTAAACAAAGGCAACAAATTTGCTAAATCCCGAACTAGTATAATAAAAGTGGGAATTCTTTGTGTTTAAGGAAACAATAATAAAAACCTGTGAAATGCTTCCAGATGATAACAGTTATGGAAAACTTAAGGCTACTTGTGAGGCAGGTGGTATGATAACATAAGCATGGGGGCTGTGTGACTTTGACTAAGACCCTTAAGTTCCTTGAGACTCTGTTTCCTCATCTGCCAACAAGAGACTTGGCGTAGGTGTCCTTCATAGTCCTACCCAGTCCCAGCCTTTGGATCTGACCTATCTGCAAAGTACAAAACATTGTTTCAACAACTTTTCTTCATAGCTTTCCCAAGCATCCATCTCTGAGCATCCACTCTGCCATCCATCTCTGTCATCCACTCTGCTGCGTGACCCACCAGGAAAAGTCACCGACCTTTTGAGATAGTCCTCTATAAAAGGGGGGATTCAGATAGTTTATTTCCAAGGTCTGGTCTGACTGTAGCCACTTTCTGTAATTCTGTGATGCTTCTGGAGGCAGAAAGTCACACGAATGACTATCAAATTTATCTATATTGATTTAATTATTATCTGTCTCTAAAATGCAGAGGGAATGATATTCCTCTTATTTTCCCTTTCCCCAGATGCTTCATTGGCAACAATTTTTGTGTTGGATTCTTACATAATAGCACTAATGTTTTACAACCATCTGGGAAAAGAGGCTCAAGTAGAGGCATAATCAGATCCTGGGTTTCTCTACTTATCTTGTCAAGTAAACAGAATGTATGTTGTGGTTTAGTTATTCCTTAAGTATCAAGTATAGAGACTAATATTGAAATCCAAGTGGCACATCTTTTGGCTTGGATTTTATATTTTTAAATAGACCCCTCAGACATAAGCTTGGCATTATTCCATAAAACAATTCAGCTTTCCGAAGTCTCTCTCTCTTTTACAGTCCAAACGTCTGATGATGTGACTCCTGTGTGGGCGTTTGTGTCTACTCTCATCATGGGCTTGCTCTTCTGGTCATCATCCTGTGCAGTTCACCCTCCTCCAGCCTCTGTAGGATCCACAGTGTAGCGAGAGCAGATCAGATGCCCAAAGACTTGGTTTGGGGATGACATGGAGCCAAGCTATGATTCACATGAAAGTGAAGGTTTTGAAGGTGCCATGGTTTGAATTCAAAATTCAGAGGTGGCCAATGTGATCACATTAAGAGTTGGGGCTTTTAAGAGGTGATTAGGCCAGGAGGGTTCTTGCTTTGTATATACGGGACCCTTGTAAAAGAGGCTTCTTGTAGTGTTTGGTAACTTGCCTGTGTACCTGTGACCATGGGAGGACACAGTGTTCTCAACAGACAACCTAACCAACTGGTGCCTTGATTTGAACTTCCCAGGCTCTAGAATTGTGAAAAAAATACATTTCTGTTCTTTATAAATTACCCAGTCTCAGGTATTTTGTTGTAGCAGCACAAAATGGACTAAGACAGGGAGATACCCTGAGATATGTTTTAAAACAAAGGTATGTGGAGGTAGCTATAACAACTTAGTAGTGAGCTGTGCAGTAAATGCCAGCCTCCTATATTCTACAGTCATGTATCTCCTCATGGAGATAGTGAATGTTTGACTTAGTGAATGTTTGACTTTCATTTTCTGTGTATCACAAGTAACCTCTAGAGGGATACTCTGGGACCACTTAGCTTCTCTAGAGAAGTCAAATCCAGTTCCAGGTCCTGGGTGCTTGGTGAGCAATGTGCCAGAGACATAGTGGACAGGAAACAAACCTTTCCTTGGCGTACATTTCTGTGATATGCTTATCTGTCAGCAAGTTTGTGACTTGGGGGGGAAATGGTAAGACGAACTTTCAGGTTCATTTCTGGGCATTTAGGGGACATCTGGGGATCTCGGTGCAGAAATAGGGGAGAGTGGGGATTCTGCATAATGCTGGGTCTCACCTGTGTTTAGGGCGTGGTGGGTGAAACTTCGTGGGCTGGCAGGACAGCAAAAGGATATCAGGTCCTGAGTTAGGACTCAAAATTCTCAGCCAGTGTCTCCAGGGAAGTGAGGGTGGCAGAACTTGGCAGAGCAATCTTTTTGATCACCCTTACTTCACTGTGCGCTGGAATGACCACATAGGTTTGCTCTTATGCTTTGAGCAGGCCTGTGTGATATGAGGTCCTCTCTCATCCACCAGACCCCTCTATTTAATTATCTCCATCAAATGTCCTCATGTGTTTGCTGAGGCTTTAAGTTCTATAAGGAAGGAAAAATGCTTTTTATTCCGAATTAGAGATAAGAGGTTTAAATGCAAGTACATGGCTTGAGGCCACACTTTGTAGAGTGAATTCTTCCTTGTGGTGATGGTGGGTAAGAAAGTAGCTGGGCCTTGGATTCTGGTTGGCAAGAATCCAGCCCCCAGGCCCTCCAACAGGGCCCTGCATCCAAAAGAGCCCATGCCAGAGTACATGCTCTGCTGTCACAGAAAATGTTGACATTCTTAATAATTTTGGGTTTAGGGGCCCCATGCTTTGATTTTGCACTGGACTCTGCAAACC